AGATTTTTGCCTATGTTTTCTTCTAAGAGTTTTATGGTTTCTTGACTTACATTCAGGTCTTTGATCGATTTTGAGTTTACTTTTGTGTGTGGGGTTAGACAATAATGCAGTCTCATTCTCCTACATGTAGCTGTCCAGTTTTGCCAACACCAGCTGTTGAAGAGGCTGTCATTTCCCCATTGTATATCCATGGCTCCTTTATTGTATATTAATTGACCATATATGCTTAGATTAACATCTGGACTCTTTATTCTGTTCCACTGTTCTATGGGTCTGTTCTTGTGCCAAAACCATTGCATTTTTTAAAGTTACTTGTTGCATTTTCTTGTTGGAGTGTTTGTGTTAGAAAATCCCTGTAACTTCAGCTCATAGGATGTTTGCAGTAATCTCAAGAGTGGTTAAGATGTGCTGTTCATGTAACTGACTATTCATCTTTGAAAGTCGACTTTCAGAATTTTTTCCTGTTGTCTAAAGTATGTGGAAGAGGTTTCTGGTTATCATTGTTTCTTAGGACCTAGCAGGGGTATTATAAAGAGTTAGTGAAATATTAACGAAAACAATTTGGAAAATATGTAATGGAAGTTGGTTGGTAATGGTTTAGTATGATTGTCCTTGTCTGGATGCTGAGTAGCCTGGGAGGCTGTGTTTAGCATAGTTATGTGGTTCCAACAGAGCCATTTTAAAGAATGGGAGATTGTACCTCTGCCCATCCACAGCAACTAGGTTTTGATGGAGAACAATGTATTTCATGTTAAAAATCCCACCGTACATCTAAAATGAATCTTCAAAACTAGTGCATTGACTTACTAGTAACTGTAAATTGTCTCTGAGATTCTTGGCTAGTATACTGGTAGTTAACAACCAGAAATTTTTCATGATCACCTCCTGGCCCCAGGATCTTTAGGCACTTTTCTTCTAGTTGTTCTTGCTCGTGGAATTTTAATACCACAGAAAATATTGTATATCTCTTTATGTGCTGTTTATATCTGTTGCACATAAAAAGGGTAAAAACATTTTGTCCCCAAGAACCAATATTTGCCATCCTTGGAACCACTGTTACCCCCGTTGAGAATGTATGAGTTAAACAAACACAGTTGGCCTTGATGATCAAGGCTGGTGAGCAGAAACAGAAATACTTCCCCATATAAAATGTGAGTGCATCTCTCCACTGGAGGAATTCTGAGCAGATTCTTTCACTATATCACTATCAGGGTGTTGGCCTGTCTAGAAATGAGGGCAGGGATGGTTGTCCCTGCTCTAAGGCTCTATGAAATAGAATTCTTAAGGCTAAAAAACAAAAAGGACAAAGATTAATGGACTTTAAACTCGTAGAGTATATGCAGAGTAGATAAGACACCCTTCTGAGCTATTAAGATACTCTTCAAAACTTCAGTTTTCCTTCCATGGTTATAGTTCACCCGGTTGTCACAGGGTCCCTGAATGAATTGATTTTACTTAGCCAGTTCTACAAGTTGAAGGTGTAGCTTTTTTACATTCCAGACGGTATGCTTGGCCTATGTGGAAGTGCAAACCTCCCGTCTTGTCCATGATCCTGCATATTTTTCATTCCCCTGTGTCAGTAGGTTTTTTCACAGGAATCCTGAACTCACCACTAAACATTGCCGACTGCTTTGTCTCACTAGGTGCTCATTGGACACATCTCCAAGAAGATGAACAAACAGACCTTCCCTGAGCACTGTAGTTTGTGTAAAGAGATCCTGCCATTCACAGATCGCAAACAGGCAGTCTGCTCCAATGGCCACATTTGGCTCCGGTAAGCCATTTTCAGTTTTGTACAGCACCACCCACTATGAAGTATTGATCCAAAATATATGTCCATGCCATTAGGTTGGAGAAAAGCTGCTATTGTAAAACTATGGACTTTTCTCATCCGTCTGACGTAAGCAAGACACCCTTTAAAGACAGTGTTTTACTGCTTGATATGTATATAGGGGTTTCTTCATTTTGGTAATACTATTTTCCTTTAAAGGAGCATTAAATTTTTAAAGATTAGTATTACAAATACAATACCTGTTGAAGTTAATGGAATATAAAAGTACCTGTGTACGCTCTGTGACTTACAGTGGAAGGTAGAAGGCCTCCTCCTCTCCCCTCGGTCTCGCTCTAAGAGGGAACCAAAGTGGGGCCGCCCTCACTTTCTGGCCCCCTGAGCTGCGTCACGCTCCCTGCGCTCCACCTTCCCCCGTTTGCCTGGTCCTGGTCGGTGCTCAGTGACTAGTCACCGGATGGAGTTGACCCTGTGAACATTTGTTCCATGTCCCTTCTTGTTTTGCACCATTAATTTTGTTTTCTGTATCCTTCAGGTTTTCCCCATCGTGCTGTCAGGTTCTTAAAGACAGTGCTTACACCTAATCTTAAAAATCACTACAAAAATATTAAAATATAATACATGATCAGTTTTTTTTTAACATATCAAACATTCAAAGTACAGTCAGGTATAGACAGATTAAATTCTTTCCCAATGCTGCAAACAAGGCCCAAAAAGAAGCTACAGTGACTGGATTGGAAGCTCTGCATCTCTTGGCCTGGTCTGCTTTATTAAGTGTGGATCCGGCCAGCCTGGTGTGCAGAGGGACACATTATTGCTGTGAATTTGTGAACTCTTCTGGCTGTACCTGGTTAGTGGTGGTTTTAGGATGACCCTCAACTCTGTGCTGCTTTTCAGGTGTTGCTAGAACCGATGATACAGTCTATTTTCTTTCAGGTGCTTCCTAACCTACCAGTCCTGCCAGAGTTTGATATACAGAAGGTGTTTGCTCCATGACAGCATTGCCCGCCATCCGGCCCCGGAAGGTGAATGCTTTCCCGGCCCTGGGAGGGTGCGGTCGGGCTCCCCCCTGCTTAGTCTCAGGCTCCCGGGGAGGTGAGCGGGCTCGTTCAGCTCTTTACAGTAGTGTCACGAAGCAACAGCTAACTTAAAATTGCTAATGGGACTATGTCATATTAAAGTACATACTGCATTTTAATATCTGAGTAAGACTGCAGTTGCTATTCTGTCACTGCAAACGAATGTCAGAGCCTGTTTCAGATGGCATACGTAGATTATACTTGAATGGAAACTCTGCAGTGGTAATGTACAGAGCCAGCGTAGCAGAGCCATGCTAGGATGTGCACTTGGAGTTGTTCTTCCAGGGGCCATGATGGAATGTTTTCATGGTTGGTCGATATTCTCTCCTGATAGCCCCAGTGACAAAGCTGACTTTTCAGAGATAACAAGTTGGAAATAAGATCGTAGGCATAAGCAGAGAACTAGTGATTTAAATAGCCACATGAATGTCAAATTTATGATCCGAGGTTCCTTTAACATCACACTCTGACCAAATAAGCTAATCAGACATAAGTATTTACAATGATCTAAATGTCTGGGGGGGAGTTCATGGTCTCCGTTAATCAGAAAACATTCTACATAAAACCAAACTTGTATTCTTGAGTTTTGCTCTAAACTGCCTGAAGCCCTCCAGTTCTGAGAAGTCGGTGTGTTGGCAGCTTGTGTTCAGTCTTGACTTTTTATTATAGGAAATGCAATCACATATAAAAGTAGAGAGAAGGGTATGATACACCTTTTGCACCTGCCACGGCAGCTTCAAAATTTGCCAGCTTGTGGCCTTTTGTGATCCATCCCTCACCTGCTTCCCTCCTGTTGGGCTGTTCTGGAACAAATTATTGGGAACTTTAGTACTCACTGCAACTGAGAATTGGTGTACTATTGAGAGAAAAAATCAGGGAAAGGTTAAAACAAATTTAAAAAAACAAACACACCTGCCAGTTGACATTGAGTTGAGCCACATACAGCTTTTGGGAAGAAAAATCATCTATGGGATCATGGGAACAGTAGTAGAGCATTTCACAGACCAGGGAAGTTTTTTAAAAGGGGTAGGTGTTGACCTACTGTTGCCACTGGGTCATGAATAGAAAAATTTACTATTCATGTAATTTTATAAAAGAGGACGTCATGTAGCATCTCAGAACAAAGTACAGGCCTTTCTTTTAATTCAATAAGTTGAGATTTAGGAAACATTCATTCCCCTTATTTTGCCATTTCATCACAGAGGGATGAAAATTTCATTACACACTTAGCTTTGGGAACCACAGATTTAGTTCAGCCTTGTTTAGACAGTTAGAGTGAGGTGCTTTGTCCAGGCACAGAGCTGGGACCAGAAAGCCACTGCGGTCCACCCATGTGGTGCCTTTTCTGAAGCTAACGCTCAATACCATTTCCTTTTGCAGATCCTGACTGGATTAAGAGGCTACTGAAAAGCCCCTGCCCTTTCTGTGACTCTCCTGTCTTCTAAATGTCAGTGGTGGGAAGAGGGAAAGGACATGTATCCTGCTGTAGGAAATACCCTGTAGTCTGGAGAGAGAGGGTGCACTGGGGTAAGCCCGGCCTTCACAAGTGGAGAGGCACGCTTCGTGATTGTAAATAGGGTCCTGGGAACTCATTTTTGAAGTGCATTCTCCATCTCCAGGGACTAAAGGATATCTTTAAAAATGACTGAATGCAGAGACTGTAGGTCATTTGGAGATGAATGTTAGTCCCTCCAACCCCACTCCTAAGGAACACTTATTTTTCAAGTGTCTTGACTGAAGCAGTTTGAACAAAAAGAACGCCCCATTGTTTCTTGGAACAGAATGATCCTCCTAGAGAGTTTGGACAAGGGCCTTGTTGGGCCAAAATAGGCTCTCGTCCTTGCCTTGGTCTGGAACTGCCTGGCGGCTCCAGAGAGCTTCAGTTACCTGGTACATGGCGGGCAGTGTGCCAACAGACATTAAAAGTGTCTAAAATTAATGCAGGGACCTGATGGTTTGCTCTCAACAAATGCCACATAATTGTATCCCACCATACTTGTTTTTCATGCCTATTGAAAACATTTTCATAAAACTCTTGTTTTTAAGAGGTTGAACCCAAGACTAAAGTTGGTTTTAATGTGTCAAAAGATGAGGTGATTCTTACAAGTCAGTAATTGTGACTTACTTTTAAAGCTCTCCTATGTCAGCAGGTTTCCCACAGCAACTCCTTGATGTGTATAAAGATGTCAAGTTCCACTTCACCGATGCCACACCCCTGCTTCACACTCAGCTGTAGTCACCTAGACGGGTTATCTGTACATAGAAGGAAAAGAATAGTTTCTCCTTTAATGTTAAGTTAAAACTTCTCGTATTTTTCATGTTGATATTTCTAGTCAATTCGCCAGCATAGGAGTGTGCGTGGCGTCTGTCTAGAGACGCCCAGGAGGAGACAGGCACCTCAGAAGCACAGACTTGAGCTCCAGTATTCCAAGTGTGTGCAGCTCGGTTGACCAGAGCCTGGGCATTTCTTCTCTGCCAAGATCCTTGGTACTTACAGGTCTGCTTCCATGGGCTATTCAGAGATGTTAGACCTTAATTGGTCTTAAAACCTAAAGTAAAAAACAGACACTCTGAGATTACAGTGTTCTTGGAATAAGTGTCCTAAGAATCGGTGCTAATCTACAGGACTGTAATGCGCACATCTTAATACGGTGCATATTTCTGGGAAGTTGGATGAGAAATACAAAATGTGAAATTCTAACTCCTATTACTGCTATCTTTATTGCATTTATTCCAACATTTATTCTTGCTTTTATTTTGTATCCTTTGTGGAAGACATTTTGTCCTCACTTTAGAAACACTTGAAATTTGGATAACACTGTAACAGAAACCACACACCACTGGGTGCCCCCCGTCTTCCCGCTTCTGTCCATTTGTAGTGGAGACAGGATTCCTTAAGAAGCTCTTCCAAACAGCCTGCTTTGAAATGTCTTTTGTTTCCTATTCAAATTTTTGTTTTCTCTTCTGTGTTTGCTTGAGTCTTGTGTTTATCTTTCTGATCTTAGTGGTAATTTCAGCAATAGTTTTATCCAGAATTTAGGGTCCAGCATGTTAAATAATTTTCAATAAAGAGAACCAGGCAGGCAGCATTAAAATCATGAATAACAACTCAGAAGGTTGTTTGTGGTCATTTGTGCTGTAGCCGCTTCACTTTACAATAAATAGAACAGTAAACACTGATACCATGTCAAGAATTATTGCAGTTTTTGTAATCATGGTATGCTTAGTTTCACTCTCTGTTCCCAGAGTCAGTAGTTGATTTTTTCTTATTGGGGAATTTTGTGTTGCTGCCTTTTAAAACTTACATTAAGTTCTTATTTGAAGCAGCTGTGCATTTTGGGCAACCTGTAACTCTTAAGAGTTAACTAAAAGGGATCTGCCAAATTATTTTGTATGTCTGCATAGGAATAAGTATGGCAACTATTTTACTAGAGCGTGGCTTTTCTCTGCAGGGGGCTAGGCCCATTGACGTTAAAAATGAAATCCGGGTAACATCTCAAGCCCAAGTTTCTGCACATGAGTAGGGTGGCTCTACCCCCTTCTCCCCCCCAACCCCCATCGTGGAGGTTAATCACCGACCTGCGAGAGCAGATTTCAGCTAATGGCAGCATCATAAACCCAGTCCACTTCTGAATTCAGTGCGGTCAGCATACATGACACTAGAGTTTGGACCTTGGGAAAGAGGAGTGACACCAGGAATCGCAGACTTGGATAGATGTATCGCTCTCTCTGTACCTCCTAAAATTTGCCTGATCTATTTAGTGGATTTCAAGTTTATTTCAGCTGTCACTGTAACAACCGTGGCAGGGATGGCACATGTCATGTTGCTGCACCACATTTAGGTTCAGAGCACAGATTCTATACAGTTAGACCTTTACAGCTACAACACTTGCATTTTGGGAGTCTGATATCCACACCTGGTTCCCATTTTCTCTGCCTAGGGTTAACTTGTCCTTATTATTCTAGATAAAAAATTGATAGCTTGTTAGGCATGATATTCATTCTGAAATCCTCGTGTCTGTCTACCACCCAGACTTTAACCAGTCTCTACCTAGTATTCTGTCTGCCAAGACTACCAGTTATTTTTCAGTGTCAGAAGTTATTAGAACCACTGGTGAAGCCCATGGCTGCGGGTGACATTTTTCTGCTTCTCCCTCTAAAAAGTTTCTGAGAAAGTTAATGTTGAAGCATGTGGATTGGATCTGTTGGCAAGTTTCACAGGTTAATTAGGTTAAAAGGTATTAGTCAAGTATTAAAATACGTTGTAATTATAATGTATCAGCTAAGCCATAGAAGAAATTTCGATGCTTACAGTGCTTGTTCCGGAGACTCATGCTGCTGGCTGTACGGAGCACCTGCTCACCCTGCCACAGTCACGCCGCTTTGGAGTTCGGCGAGTGGCTGCAGCCAGGAACCAGCGTCACTGGTCCACGTCCGCAGGGGCTGTGTGGCCTCTCTGCCCCGACCTCTCTCTTGCTTTCCTTCCTGGAGAGATCCTCTCGATTCCCATGCCTCCACTTCTGTCTGCTTCAGGACACGGTCAGAGCTAACAGTTTGTGTTTGAGAGAAAAACAGGTTAGTGATAATGTTTCAAAAAACTAAATCACGTAGTAGGCCTCTCTTCCTAGAAAAATTCCTGTTGAACAGGAATTTTTCTCTCTAAAAGTAAGTGTCAGGTGTTGGTGAGCTACCTGGTTCTCTTCAGAATTCTCCATCACAGTCCTGCCGGGGCTGAGGGACTCCCGGCTGGGCTGTGGGCTAGAAGGGGCTAGATTTCAGCTCCTGGCCGCCGCCCACACTTCTCCCCAAGCCGATATTCTTGACAAGCAAAACTTCTGGTTAACGCTAAGCTGAATAGGTTATATTCAAAGTCAGCAGGCCTAAACTTTTTAAAGGAAAAATATATTCTGCCTTTTCTTTCTGTTTAGAGACTGGGCAGCAAATAGCCAGATAGGTAAATGAATCTCTTTATAGGTAGGCCACCACAGACGGTTGGGAGAGTCTGCACGGCTTCTGTAACTGAGCAGGGGTCTATCTTTGTGCTCATGCACACCCCTCTGCGTGCTGCTGGGGTGCAGCAGGGCCGTAAACTGCAGTGTCTCAGGAACCTAACCTTTCCTCGAGGTTGTCAGATTTCAAAACGCCTCTAAACGTCTACCTGAAGTCAGTTGTTTTCATTTTAGTATTAGTGGAAGTATCATTTGGCAGCTTCAAGCAGAATTTTAGATTGTCTCAAGTCTCATAGTTATTAAACTTTGCCCTTTCTGGAACCTGCTAAAAAGTTTTAGAGTTAGGATCATCATGTCTAACACATCTGCTGTTCAAACTGGTTATAGGACATGTGCAATTTGTCCTTAAATCAGTTGCTTCTGACGATGTAAAGTGCCGAGCATCGTTAGCCTGCTGAGAGAGCAGGGTTTCCGGAAGGCTGTGAACTCGTTCCCGTGGCGCGGACGTAAGTCAGGAACAGGACTTGACTAAGCGGCTGAGGCCGGCGTGTAGGATGCGGCCGTCCGTCTGCACATGCAGTTTTAAGACAAGGCTGGTTCTGAAAACTTGCTGTAGAAATCAATAAATTTAACTGGGGAATGACTGTCTATAAAGATGTTCTGGAAAGAAAATCCTTTTGGTATAAGAATATTTCTCCCCCGACCTGTTTAACCAATTAGGTGATTCGTCTTTTCTTACATTTTCTTTGCGTTGTGCTTTGTGGGGGACAATAAAAATCTGAGGTCCTAGTCCGTGAGTTCACTTAGAGCAGTGTTATGTGTTTGCAGCGTGGTGTCTGTTCATTCATTTCAGGCTTGGGAGGAGCTGGAGAAAGGGAAGGGTGGTCCTCCTGCTGACACAGTGAAGGGAAGGCACCAGCGTTCCGGTTGGACTATTGTAAGTGGGTGGGGTGGAATGACATTTCAGAACTCTATATCTTAATGTTTATTTCTAATCTCAAAATGTATTTACCTCACTACACCGAAATCCTGTTACTTTCATAAAGTTCCTACAGAGAAGTTAGGTTGAATGATGTAAGAGGCTGTGGCTTTGAGGCATTTCAGTTTTACACTTGGCTAGCAGGCTGGTAGGATTTAGGGTGCTTTGTGTTGGTTTTGCTACTAATGCAGAATTAAATGCAAAAATGAATTAGGTCTTTTTCAAGACTTTGACTCAGACTTGTACTTCAAGGTGTGACAGGAACTTGAGTATCAAACTTGTTTATACAGAAATAAGACTGCATCGAGAACTCTGTTGTGTGCAGTGACCGAGCCTTTATGTTTACCCAGGGCCTGTGCTATTCTTTGTGCTTGGCTTTCCATTATTTATATGTTTACATGTGACAGTTTTTGTAATAAAACAAAGACATCTAAACACTTCGCAGTCACAGAAAGATGGTCTTTAAACCCTCCTCTCTGAGCAGTAGGCCTTAGACTCCTAGTGTTTAAATAAAACCTTTACAAATGCTAACACATTTGGGGGGCTTGGGATGCCCCCCAACCAGAAAAACTGGCTGCTTCTCTCCATTGTAGGCGTGTACATAGTGCTTATGATTAGACTGTAAGCTCCTCGAGGGCAGGAACTGTCTGTTTCATTGGTGGTTTCTGCAGCACCTAGTGTTAAGTGCCTTGCACAGAGTAGGTGCTCACGGTGCTGAGAATGAGTGAGTAACTTCCTTCCACCTTGACCGTAAAGCACAGTTGCTTTTCCAGTGCATTCAAAACTGCAAAGAACTAATGACCGGAAGAGGCCAAATTTTCTCTTGGGTTTGAGGCAGGCTCTGTCCTTAGCACGGTATAGCCGTCTTTTCCTGAAGGTAGTATACCAGTGTGCTGGGCTTTTACTTAATATTAGGGCAGAGGTTTCTGGAGAAAGTTTGACATGGAGAAGATAGAGAAAATGAAACAAAATTTGGAGAGTGTTTGTCAATATCCAGCCCTGTGGGGCAGTCCTACCTTAGTTATTACTAAATAAAGGGATACCAGGTCCTCCGTTTCTTACCAGTTAGCTGGTGGGCCAATTTTCCAGTTAATGAAAGATCACTGGTTTTTAGCTTTTTCCATTTTGGATTCCCCTCAATTGCTCATATGATTCTAGTACTTAAGAGTCTAATGAAGTTGCTGTGAGTATCCAGTGCTGTACATAATGGCAGTTTTGTAAATGTGAAATAACCTCAGTATGTCATGTTTTGTATGCAGAGCCACTAGTAGTATTATCTTGGCCACTTTTCTATTCAAAATAAATATATAGCAGAATTACTTGTATATTGTGTGCGTATTTTTATCGGGTTCATGTGGCTTGTGGCAAAGCTTGGCCTCTTTAGGCCTGACGAGCACCAGCAAGGTTGGTGATGCCCAGGCGCGAGCAGGGGGCAGAGCTGTGTGTGGTACAGAGACAGCCACCACCTTACACAGAGTCAATACAATGCATCTTTGTTCCAGAAAAAGGAGGAGGCCTGTGAGGGGACATATAGAGCTCCTGTAGCGTGTTAGAGCGCATTCCTAACAGTGCCGGGTAAACAGCATCTGCTGATTCCTTACAGGAAGTCAAACATAACCATGTAATTCAGACACATGCCCCTGCTGAGAACAACCAGAAAAGCTCGGGAAGCACCAAATAGGAGAAAAAGGCGAGTGACACACCTACAGCGATGATAGTGACACTACCAAAAATCAAGAGAAAAATGTTAAAAAAGGTTACCTTAAAAGGAGCAGTGATAAGACCTCCAGATGAGCTCTCGACAGAAATGGCGCACGAGGCCGCGACAGGGCGCTCTCAAGGTGCAGAAACAGTAACCACCAGCCAAGGACTCCGGACTTGACAGGACGTCCTCTAGGAATGAAGGCAAGACATTTTCAGACCAGTAAAAATGGAAAATAATATATCCCCAGACCAGAACTGAAGGGAATTCCAAATACCAGATGGAAGGAAGTTCAGGGGAGCGGCAAAGAGGCAAGAGCAATGAAAGTGGGCACAGACCAGCCACACAGGACAAACGCCCTGGGAGGCTCTGCAGTACCTGTGCCCACAAGGCAGGAGGTGGGATGCTTAGGCCCTTGCCTTATCTAGGAACAGGGAAAATTAATCCATATTAGACTGTGCTAATAAAGTTGTCTGTAGAATAATCCAAAGGCAAGAAAGGAGAAAAACATAGGCTAGAGAAGGAAACATAATAAGAATGGATTTACAAGTAGAGTGCTGATTACATTAAATGTAAATAAGCAGGTGGCCCAAATTGAAGACTGTCAGGCTGATTTAAAAAAATACACCCCGTTGCTTGTAAGTGATATATGCAAAACACAAGGATACAGAAAGCTTTAAAGGATGGAAAGGTACACTGAACAAACCCTAATCAAAAGGTAGATCTCTGGTGATGTTCCCCAACCTTCATGCCATCATTGCCATGTCATTGTCACATATTGTCCTACATACATTATAAACCCAACATGCAAAGTGATTTTGTTTTAAACAGCCACTTGCCTTAGCTCAGGCAGTCATAACAAAATACTATAGACTGCGGGCTTAAAACATTCATGTCTCACACTTCTGGAGGCTGGGACGTCCTAGAGGAAGGTGCCGAGGAGGTAGGTTTCATTCTGAGACATCTGGCTTGTCAGTGGCCACCCTCTCGCTGCGTGCTCATGTGACCACCTTGTGGGTGAGCAGGGAGAGAGCAGGACCTGTGCCTCTCTACTTAGAAGGGTGCTAAACCTAACTTGAGGGCCCCACGCCCATGACCTCAGCTGGTCAGTCACCCCCAAAGGCCCCACCTCCAGCTACCATCACACTGGGGGTAGAGACCTCAACATAGGAATTTGAGGCACACACACCTTCAGTCCATAGCACTGGTGCTCCCCATGCCTTCCTGGAGAGCCAAGTTCCCACTTGGTGTCATTCTCGTACCAGGGCCACTCTGGCCCTTACTGTGGTGCTGCTCTGCTGGGACTGATTCTCTCCGCTTCTCTTGATCTGATAAATGTTTTTAGACCTCCTTTAAAAAAAAAAAAAAAGGGAGGAAAAACTGGTTTATATGCAGTATTTTTTCTTTTTCTCCACTTAATTTTTGGAGAATATTTTCACAGGATATAG